GTACATTACTGCAATGATGCCTGTGTTCTCATTGGCTGCTCTCGTGTTGCTAATAGCACTCTAAACTTCAATTCTTTTTATTATTATGAAGTCTTGCCAGAATTAGCCACGGGGATTGGCTAAAATGATGCATGGTGCATCTTCAACTTCAAGCTACAAGCCAATCATATGTCCGTATTCCCCGACGTGCGAATCGCACGTCGGTGCACACTAGAGGGTTAAGTAAGATCATTCATAAGTACCGTATAATCTATGTCCTTTTAGGTGGACAAGTCCTTTTAGGTTCCTCTATATATTTATATTTTTGAGGCTTGCCCCAACAACAAGTTCAACAGGTTTTCCTTTCGCGCGACTACACTCTCCTTATAATTAATATAAACTCCTTCTCTTAATACTATATCGTTTATTGCGCGCGCAATCTATGTGGTGGTCGGATGATCATCAATGTCATTCTCCACTTGTCCAATGGAAGAAACTCAACAACTGGGTCGTCTGCGCTTTCGTGGGCGCCCTGCTTTGAGAACCGGTCCCAAGAAGCCGCCAAACAAGTACCGCAACGTGCACGTCTTCTACAAGATGAAGCAAAGCGTCATTGACAGCTTCGACGAGGTCGGCATGGCAGCCACACTTGCCAAACACTTTCCACAACTCAGTGGAACCCAACTCAATACGACAAGAAAGAAGCTGTATGGGTGGCTCAAGCATCGTGCTCACATAAGGGTAAAGGCTACTAATCGACGAACTTCTGACCATTTGTGCTCGCGTGACTTGGGCATAGCAACGACACTCCCCAGGGAGTACGAAGAACAACTTGCTCGGTGGGTCAACTCCATGCGTCAAGACGGTGTTCCAGTGACACCGCAGATGATCTAAATCATGGCGTTGGAGACCGCCATTGACGCCGATCAGGATGAAGCCAGCTTTGCCGCGAGTTGGTGGTGGCTGCGTGGATTCAAATGACGCTTCAAGCTGTCGTGGCGTGCCCGCACCAGGTCCGGCCAAGACACGCAAGGGGACGGTGACGCAGCGTTAGCCAAGTTCTCTGCGCGGGTTGCCGAGTTGGTCCGTGAGCACAGCATCGACGTCATCTACAACGCCGACCAAACGGGTGTGAACTACGAGTATCTACCGACCAAGCAGGCAAGTGGATAACTGCAAGGCTCAGAAGACGACGTTCAAGTTGCCAGCGCCGAAGCGTCCAACACTGGTACGATGGATTACTGACTCGTGGACTGGGTTGCCAGAGTCTATTATTATGAATGGCTTTGGGAAGTGCAACCTGGTCTCTCAGGTCACAGAAGCGTCGAAAGCGAGGAAGAGTTTGTGTCTGCGGAGATGCTGTCCGACCTTGTGTCGATATCTGCTGTGGACGAAACGATTGATAACTGATGACATCGACAATAGTGTTCAACTTCTCTAAAAATAAGTACCTGGTTCTTGTATTGGGATAAGTCAGAATTATAACTGTCAGGCTGGAGGTACCTGTGCTATTTAATAAATAGATAAACCTCTATATGAATCGTATGTCCATGTGTGATGTGCTTGTATTAAGAATAAAAAACGTTACTACCGTATTTGTCGTTGATCTGCACCACGAAAAATAACGGAAAAGGGTGATACAGTATGTTAGAGATCTTTCGAAAACCTGTTGAGCTAGAGTTTGAGTTTCGCCATCTGTTTTCCAGTCCATTTTTGCTTGCGAAAAACAGGGGTCCTCAAAAGTTCCGATGGACTATTCTAATTATTAGCATATTTTTGAGCGCTACACACTTCCCATTCTTCATTCTTCATACACCATTTTTAACACAACACGAAGTTATGGAAGACCAAAATCGAGGCATTCATGGTTGGCGAAAGCAACATCTGGAGTTTCTTCGCAGTCATTCAACGTGTCGGACAGGGAAATTGGGTGTTGTACTGACACGCTTTCTATCGCTCACTGCAAGTGTAGTGTTTGCATTCAGAAACTTCGCACCGTTTCGCACTGAAAACTGAGAAGTTCCGGATACTGCATTACATTTGCGGATGCAATATTCTTATTGCGCATGTGCACGTTTTTGTGGTGTGACATGTCGACATGCGCATACATCGAAAGTAGACCAACTTTGAGGACGCTTTTCTCGGGCTGTGTAATACTTAGAGCAATACTACTCGTACTACAAGATAGTCCATTATTAGCTCAGCCTGCTAACTAGTATGCAGCATGGCCTGCGCATACACAGCTCCCTCTGGCATCAGGCATCTTACCCGCATGTACGCTCTTGTTCTTGAAATACGATGAATTCGGCAAGTTCGAAGTTGTATTTCTCTACAGTTGTTGATCCAGGCGACATACAATAAGGTGTTCTTCATAGTATTGGTTATTCTTATGAGAAATGGAGAGTTGCGTGACCCCTTGTGCAGTATGTATTGAGAAATCGCTGACCTGCATCGTGCCTTTCCCGCTTGTACGCCTGCACAATCTGCAGGATGTATAAATCGATTAGAAAACGTGAATAATTATGGAGATGAATAAAAATAAGCAAAGAAATATTAAGATAAAGATGTTTAAACAAATAATAATATGTAACTGTCGCGCGCATGCACACGCCGTTTGTTTCAGTGGAAGTATCAGATTCAGTTCCTGGTTGACTCGAACGCGACAGCTTGAATAAAGATGCATGCATACCCTCGACAATGGTACACCATGATTTGGAGGAATCAAGGACCATATATTAAATACTTCATAGTAATGTATTAGTGTCCTGCTTCCGCAACTCCCTGAAAAAAGTGTGTAATTCCATAGTTCTCCATAGTAGTACATTATCAGTAAGTTGTGTACCCTATGTAGACACCAATATGGGGCATGTTGACTTCGACTACTGGGTTGATACATGTACAGGGAACGACGGAATGCAACGCCTACTTTGTCTTCGAATCCTACGTGAATTGTATCATTTGATTGGATTGCTAACTTCGATGTACGTTTCGTTTTGAGCCAATCAGTGTGCAATACTGAAATTTTTATTCACACTACCTGAGGTCAATTCATTTTATTACAGGTAATTAAATTGTGTAGTGTGATTCACATCGCAATGGCTCCAAACACCAACAACATGGGATGTAAAGAACAAGGTAATCGGTTTAAAAAGGTGTCCCACAGTGAAATATATGAACGGGTGGATGATTCCAGACTAAGCGTAAGCGTTTGACGCGGTAGCTCAATGGTTAAGGGCGACGGCATCAAAACGACAGAGGAAGGGGCCCGGGTTCAATTCCCGGGCAGTGTCAAAGTTTTTCCAATAATTTTCACATTAATCGTAATCCAATACAAAAAGGAAGATAACTAAATTAATTTAAGTGCAATACAAAAAGGAATATAACTAAATTAATTTAAGTGGGAATTTTTTTAACGCTGAAATTGTTGGGCCTGAAGGAGAGCTTTCTCAAAACTGCGGCGGATCTATTGGCTCGACACGAGGTCCCACGCTACAATCGACCGCTTCACCAATGCGATGCGCTTTTCACGCGCAGTAAGTGAAAATGGATCATCGCCAACGATGATGTCTTCGAGCAGCCACAAGTTGCGGAGGTTGCGCTTAAACGGCGCCATCACTCCGACATCCAAGGGTTGACACACGGACGTCGCATTCGGCGGCAACGCACACAGGTGAGCCCCAAGCTCTTCGTACATGATGTTGTATGACTCACTCGACACATGTGACTCGAAGTTGTCCAGCAATACGACTGACGGCTCCTCGATCGCTTCTCCAAGTACATCCCGGAGGTACGTGGCCCATACTCGGTTGTCCATCCAGGCACGCTCCTGAACCGCATAGTGATGGCCAGATGGAAACGTGGCCAGCTCGCCGCTTTCGATGCGACCGCCGGGCACCCCCTTCATGATGAAGAGGATGGGCAGTTTCGTGCCGTCCGCTCGCACCGTGAGGACCGCGGTCATGCGAAGCGAATGCTTCTCACCGCTGGAGATTTTCGAGCTTCCGCCTCTCACGGCCCAAATGTAGCGCGGAGGCATGTCGTAATAGATGCCCGTTTCGTCAACGTTGTAGACGCAGTCCTTGCCATAGGCAATGTACTCGCGGTGGAACTCCGCGGCAAATTCGCTCTGCACATCAGCAAGATCAGCTTGCATGACCTTGTTCTTGGTAGGACGCTGGCGGGAGAAGCCGTGGCGATCACAGAAACGCTGCAGTAGGCGGAGGAGAGAATCGTACGACGTCCGCTGCTGCTTGGTGGCGAGGTAGTTAGTCAACCACTCGCGCTGGTTGGCCTTGATCCATAGGATGAGGTGTGTGGTCGTGAGGGCGCGCTCGTTGTCCCGAACGTGGTTAATGAACTCGATGAGTCCTGGCGGGTCGGGAAAGACCTCGTATCTTCCACCAGGTTAAAGTTTCATGTTTTTCAAGTTACCGTCGTACGCTAGGATCTCGTGCCTTTGGGCCATCCAATCTCGCAACGTGCGTTGTGGGACGTCCAATGTAGCCGACACCTTGTAGACGGACATGGTTTCCAGCATTCCCAATGCTTCGAGCTTCGTGGATATCGGATACGCCCGTCATCGCATTTTTAAATGTGCTTGTCGTGGATTATTTTTTTGCATTGAATCTGGCGGGAAGTGTTTGAATTCCGCCAATCATCGAGCTATATTTTCACATTCAAATCTGATTGGAAGTTGTCTGTCATTACACCAAAAAAATCTACGGTAGGCGTTGCATTCCGTCGTTCCCTGTATGTACTTCGTATCCTTCTTGATGATGATGTGATGATTTAACAATGTTTGTAACATTCGTACATTTTCGTCGTTGGTGGTAGACCAGCAAACTGTAAACTCGAGACCTAATTATCCCGTTAACAGTAAATCCACCATATCCCTCATCTGCTTGCTAAGAGTGCGCTGGCACATTTGACTTTTCGTCTTGGCGAAGAAGCTCAGATGCAGGCACTTGATGATTGGCCTTCCCTGAAGACCGACGTGAAGAACTTCGCCACTGCCTGCCTGCATTGTATGGTGGTCGACGGTGAGTTGGTACCCCGTCCCTGGGGTGAGTGCTGCATGCAACGAAGCCAAATGAATTGATTTATTTCGATTGGCTGTCGCTCCCGGAGGCTCCGGGAGACCTGAAATACGTCCTTGACTTCAAGGATGACATGAGCGGGTTCGTTCGGTTGCATGCCAGTACGACATCGTCTGCAGCAGAGACGGCCGCGGCGTTTATGGAATGATTTCGACTGTGCGGGGTGGTCAGGACCTGGGTATCCGACTCTGTGTCCCATTTCAAGAACGACCTGGTCAGTACCCTGGGTCGTATGTTTGGTGTTCATCACCATTTTGTCACACCACCCTGCCCCTGGGCCAACAGGACAGTTGAGGTGGTGAACCGATCGTCGTCCCGACCCTGAAGACCCTGTGCAGCGAGATGCGCTTGCAACCCGGAGACTGGCCGGTGGCGTTACCCCTGGTACAGTCTGTCCTGAAGCAGCAGCCGGCCGACCGTTTGGATGGCGTAGCGCCAACGACGGGGTTTGCGGGCCTGCCTGCTACACTTCCCCTGACCGGACTGGTCCACCCGGACGAGCCCAAGGAGGTAACGATCGACTGGATTAAGTCCCGGGCGGTACGCCACGTGGCGGAGCTCGCAGATGTCCTGGGAGTTATGCACAAGGACGTGGCAGAGACGGCTGCAGCAATGCGCGCTAAGGCCCGGCACTGTCGGGATGTCAACGTTCCGTGTAGCTAGGGAAATTTACGTTGGGCAATTTTGTTTTGGTGGCCCGGACTCTCCAGCATCCGGGAAAGCTAACGTTACTTGGAAGGAACCCTTCCGGATCGCGAAGGCGGTCTCCAACTACCTGATGGAAGTCCAGCAGCTGGTTCCTCCGGGAGCGACGTCCCTGCAGTATGCGTGTCGGCTCCGCCTGTACTGTGAAGGCGGACGTGAAGTCAATGAAGATTTGAAGGCCCAAATTGCGTTCGGCGATGAAGGTTTTTACGTGGAAGGCCTCCGGGACCTGCATCTGCGAGATGGGAAGTCCTGATCAAGTGGCTTGGCCTGGACGAACTGGAGTCGTCCTGGGAATTGGCCCTATCGATCTACGAAGACGTTCCTGGGCTATTCCGTCACTGGTCCAACGCCCGGAGCAACGAAGACGGCGTGAGCGGAATGATCGACGATCTCACGAATGCATTTGGTCACCCGATGTAGGGGGGGAAGTATTATCGACCGAGCCTCTGTTCGACTCCCCGTGCCTGAGTGTGGGTAGCCGAATGTTGGTCACGCAGGACAATTGAAGAGTATGACATATGACCTGGATCTGGAGTGTTCCGAGCTGATGGTATACTGTACGATGCATGAAGTGAATAGAGTAGTGAAGTGAAAGGAAGGAACTGACTGATTGACTGGACAATGAAGTTACTTTTGGATTTGTCATCGAGGTTACCGTTGTAAATACGGTAGTCGTCGGTTGCGAACACCGGCGCAGCCAACACCGGGCTCAGTCACGCACAAAATACCCATGGAGGATACGACAATGTCGAACACGGGGGACTCGATCTTGCTTTCTTTGGCGAGGAACATGGCGCCGATGATCTCGGCCGCGACGCTCTCAAACACGTCGGCGATGCTCCCGACGCATTCGACGACCATGTGGTCGTCGAATGGCGTGGTCGTCGAATGCGATGTTTCTAACCAAATCGGCAATCACCGACTGGTTGCGCGGGTCGTCTTCGGGGATGCTCTACTCGACGTTGCCGACGTCGGCGGCCTTGGTGTAGATACCCCGCCCAATTGCATGAACAGCGCCACGACTGACGAGCCAAACCCGACCAAGAGCATGGGGATTTCCGTGGCACTCATGAGGGGCGTGAACGCTGCATGCAGCAGACCGTGTAGAATGCTCACGCCCGCCACGAACATTGTGATGTCGAGGACGGCGGGAATCGCGCCGCCGCGGAAGCAGATAAGCACTCGCCGTATCCTCCATCAAGGTGTGTTTGAATGGGAATTATCAAAACGATTGTATGCTTGACTGTATTTGACTATGTTGAGCAGTACTTTTGTATATTATGTTAGATTATACAGTGCGCGACAAAATAGAAAGGACAGTGGATAAAAAGTGGTTTTTTTGACGCCACGAGGTCAAAAATGAGCAAAATCAGCTGCTTTTTTTAGATATGTTGTTCAGGGCAGTGTGGCAGATTCGTAGCATATTCCAGAACAACCAAATTCGTGGTTGTCAAGAAGTAACAACCATTCACATGATTGTATGTTGCGACAATTTATAAGGACATACAAAAAACAAGATAGACAAAATCAGTACTTAGTTTTGTCACCATGGCATGCATGCACCGCAAGGCACCGAGATGTCATTGAAGTCACCAACTTTTCGAGATATGACTGCTCGATCTCGTTCCAGGACAAAGTGATCTGACGCATGAGATCGCGCCTTGAACTGAACTGGCGTCCCCATTATCGTACACCTTGCGCGACAAACACGCCCAACCATTCTCGATCGGTTTCAGATCCGGCAAAAGGGCAGGCCATGGTAAAACACTAACATCGTGTTCTTCCAAAAATGCTTTTGTTGTATGCGAGCTATGAATGCTCGCATTATCCTGCTGAAAGACGAAATCCGTACCATGGGGGAGGGGGGGTAAACGGAAAGAGGAACTCCGACAACGTGTAAACGTATGCCTCCGAGTCCTGACGTCCTTGCTAGAGAGAAACGCGACTTTTGCCTAGCCATGAAAAGGCTGCCAAGATCATGACGCTGCCGCCGCCTTGTTGGCGGTTCATTCGCTGCTGCTAGGGCTGCCGCTTGTCATGCCGGTACTTCTGGTAACTGTATAACCCTTCCGGATAGCATAGGTCTGAAGGGTGATATCTTGACGAAAACGTCCTATGGTAGGGTTTTCCGGGGCTAAACCACGCCATCGCACGGATGATCCAGAACGCCTACTGATACCACAAAGATCTCGTTATATGGTTGGATGGGTGTTCTATCTCCCGCTTCGTTTTAGGCCACGGGACCTTCGTCAAGGTAGAAAAAATATAACACTGACATTAGTAAGGTTAAACACGCCACGAGGCGCCTACTGACTACCATTCACTAAAGTGCTCAGTACCTCCACTAAGGTATCGGAACCTTTGACACACCACACACACAGAGTGTGTGTGTTTGCAATGGGTCAAACTAATGCGCGACCCAATTGCTCTGCACGCTGCAGAACACTTTCCCTCCTACGGAAAGTCCAGTGTCTTGATGATGGCGGCCACGGCAGGGTCTTCCTTGTTCGCCGCCGCCCACTTGCGAAATACGACTGGAATGTCGTCCAGCAAATTCGCCGCAGGTTCCCAGAACGATTCTTCTTCGTCAAGTCCAAGCCACTTCACCAAACTTGGTGTTGGCCATCCACGCAGCGCGCTTCGTCCAGGTGCTCCACATGATATCCGCCATCGCCAAACGCGATCTGCGCCTCGAGGTCTTCAGTCATCTCTCTACCACCTTCGTGGTACATCTTCAGTCGGCACGCATGATGGACCGTGACTTCATACGGTGGCACCAGCTGGTGAGTCTCCATCACATGGTCGGCGATGGCTCTGGTCACTTGGCAGAGTCCGTGCCAATGCAGGGCCAATTTTGTCGGACGGTTGACGACCGATCCGACAAGCACAAAATCGCCGACCGAAAAACCCGCAAACTTGACTTGGGATTTTCGGTCGCGGCGTCCACGCGCTTGCTGACGCAACTTGTCGCTTCGCATCCCCACGTTACGGTGCATTTCTTCAAGCGCCACTTGGAGGTCTGTCACATGTTTCTGACGGGCGGCGCCAAGCCAGTACGCGACGTAAACTACAAATCCTGGCAGCGGGGTCTTGGCTGGGAGGCCGGTAAACGCTGTCACAGGCGCAATTCCTCCCAGCCGGTCCTCCGGCTGATGGTTGAGGGCGCCGCCTTGAACGAGGGGCAACACATGCGGCCATTCGTCCGCGTTCAGCTTCATTTCGCTAAGAAGCGCCTTCACGGCGCGCAGCACTAGTCGGTTGACTACTTCTACAGTCCCGTTCGCCCAAGGACTGTAGGCTGTCGTGATATGATGGTGGGCATCCACCAACTTGTTGGACACCGACTTGGTCGTCGCTGCGATGCGACGGTGACCGCTGGCTCCTTGGTGGTAAAGCGCTTCGCGCCCCCGAAGGGGGTTAACTTTACCACCACCACTACGTAGTTAAAAGAAGAAATACCGTTCGGAGCAACGTTCGAGCAACATTGACTTATGTCAAAATTCTCTTAAGTCCGCGGACATACTCGGGAAATCCGCAGTCGCCGGATAAGCTGAACTTCAACTTGAACTTCAATATGTACCTTCCAACTTGAAGTTCAAGTACCACTTACTTCGAAGTTAGTGGGATGAAGTTGGGTTAGGGTAAATAAAAAAACTATCATTTTTACCATTTTTCATTTTACCATGAACTTCGAAAGCTTACCCACCGATTTAAAACGAATCATCATCTTACATTTAAACCAAGAAGAAACAATTAAAGAGTTACGCGAACAAATACGTATTTTAATTGAACGAAATGAATTATTACGAAGAAACAATCAACGGTTGACTCTTCAAGCGATCCAACAATTATCCGATATCCAAAATCTCGAACACATATTGGCTAATAATCTAGACGAAGAAACGCGTGGCGTACAACGAGCATTAGATTTTGCAGATTTATCTGACACTGACAATGAAACCATATACGAACTATCTGATAGCGAAGAAATAGATGTTTAATAAATATATTCTCTTTTGATCTATCCTTCATTTTCAATTATGCTAGTACTCGGAACGATACTACTACTCTTAATCTTTTGGTACCACTGTTCAAATATTCCAGAATACAACACTTCGTATATACCACGGCCTTCTCCAATTCACCGGAGAAATCGACACGTGTTCATCAACGGATTCCTACAACAGATTGAATAAATCACAATTCAATTTACCATCATGGCAGCAAGTGTATCTTACAAAACTGAAGACCGACAATGGGACGCTCGTTTCAACGTTCAAACCGATGATTACCTTGAAAGTATTCTTGAGCATATTAAAGCTATGGATGCGCTTGGTCGCTTCAAGTATGTGCTTGTATCTAACATTGAAGTGGGTACTCGTCCTAATCAAGATGATTATCAAATCAAACATATTCATTGTTGTTTTATTTTTCACAATCGTATGTCCAAATCGGCTATACTTAAAAATTGTGGTATTATTGAAGGAAATGGATATTATTTAGTTCCAAGAAATCGTGAATTACCATATTCTGGTTGGCGAAATCATCATGTAAAAGAGTTTAGCAAAGTAACACCTGAACATCCTATTCTATTCGAAAGTGGAACATTACCAATGGACACAAGAGAGAAAGCATTAACTGCCAGCAATGAAGAAAAGAAACGAAAATTGGATGAAATTCTAATCGAAATGAAAGATATGATTCAAAATGACCAAGCAGAGGAAGCGTTCAAAAAATTCCTAAGAAATTATCTTACATATGGCGAAAAAATTAAAGCGATGGTACATCAAAAACGCGACTTCTTTAAAGACAAACGGCATCCTAATATATGGTTGTATGGTTATGCTGGGACGGGAAAAACGGCGTTATTATCGTATATCCACATTATTATAAGAAAAATCTTACGAATAAATTCTTTGATTTGTACGATCCTAAAGTACATACACATATTATGTTGGAAGATTTGGATCATCAAGCAGTGGATCGTTTGGGTATTAATTTTATTAAAACAATTTGTGACGAAGCTGGGTTTCCTATTGACCAAAAATATAAGACACCACAACTAATCCAAGCAACGTGTTTAATCACAAGTAACTTTAATATTTGTGATATCATGAATGGGCAAGAAAATAACATTGGGTTAGAACAAAATTTACCAGCAATGCTGCGTAGATTTTATCATGTTCGAATCGATGAACTATTACGATTATTGGAATTAAAATTAATTCCAAAATGGGATAGAATTAAACTAAAAAAAGACGGTAATAATGACCCTAGTAAACTGTTTATGACGTACGATTATGTTACGGACTGTCCAAAATGTAAACCATTGGAATCTTGTGACTTTTACCAAGAAGTAATTAGAGATCATTATTATAAATAAAAATATATTCATTTTTTTTTTTACTCGATTGTTATGCGAGCTCACGGAAATTGGTGTGGTCCTGGATGGACAGCAGGTCAGTATAAAGACGCAAGTGAACTAACAGAAGAAGATAGGCTAGTACCAGCAATAGATGCACTCGATGAAGCATGTAAACAACATGACATAGATCTACACGATTATCCAGAACAAGCAGATCAAATAAACAAAGAATTTGTAGAAAATGTAAAAAATTTGGGTATTAAAGGAGCTTTATTTGCATTAGCAGTAAGCGTGGCTGGGCCATCGCCAGTTTCAAATTTGCAATCAAGTAATAACATGGGAAAATTACGAGGAAATAAAGAATATTACGAAGCAATCGCAAAAATAGACGAACGAAACAATGAAGATTTTGAAAGACAATTAATGTCATTAGAAGAATATGAAGATTTTGAAAGACAATTAATGTCATTAGAAGAATATGATGCTACTAGACCTAAAAGAGAAAATCAATTTGAAACACCTCAACAAGAAATTATTAAACGGCAAAAAATTAGCCCAACTGAAAATACAAAAACAATAGCACAACGCTTTCCATGGAAGTCATTATACAATTCGAACAGTAATACACAAGAGACAAGTTCCAACACACATCCAGTAAGAGAATATATGGAAGGCCGAGCACAAGTAGCAGCACAAACACCTACTGCACCTATGACAATGCAATCACGTTCAATGGGCAGTAGTAATGGACAATCAGGTTCAACAGAAACACCTATTACACCTGCGGATCCACATTATCTATATCCAAGTACAGAAACTGTAAAAGCTGGGATATCATCATGGTTTAGTGTTATGAGACCTCAAACAAATTCACCAGCTACAATTACCATTAAATTCAATTGTCCAAAAAACATGTTACGCTTTGGGGCATACCAAGCATCTACAGCAGGTGCAGCTACTACTGTTAATGCAATAACAAATTATAATGTATTATCAAAATTAACATTTGCAACTTATGATGCAGTATTACCAATCTATCCAGTGCAATTCGGAGCAGTAGCACCAACATGTACAGTACAAATGTGGACAAATTATAATAAACGATATCAATATTACACAGTTTTACGTTGCGATTACAAAATAACATTCCAAAATGCATCTACCGAAATTAACGATCCAATATCAATATTATGGGGATTAAATACTTATGGATCAAGTTCTACTGGTACAACCTTTCCAACAAATCAACCATATCATGAAGCAAAACAATGGAAAGGAATCGATGAAATCATCATTCCATCATGTCCAAATCCAGAAGAAAGTAATAAAGGTATTAGAATTATTTCAGGAAGTTATGTACCAGGTACAGGTGATAGAGCCGTCAGCAATGACGGAGACGTTAAACGTTGGACATTATTATCTGCAGCAGCACCAAGTTATCAAGAAGATTTATTTTTAATGGCATACAGAGCACCATTTTCAAGTACAGGTTTAGCTGCATTAAGAGTTCAATGTGAAGTCAAATATATTATTCAATTTAAAGAACCATACGTTCAATATAGATATCCATATGTTGCTTCTACAGCGATATTTGAATCAACTGATGATGTTAGTTATACATATGCATAAATATATTTTGTTGTTTGTGTACTCAGGAGGTCGCCCCATACATTCACGTCACCCGAGACACACTCAATGGTGTACGGGAACGTTGCATCACCAGCGACCATCGTCGCTGGAGACGTCAACACCATTGAGTGAAATGGTCGGACGACCATCCCACGGCAGGGAGTGCAACACGCACTAACGCCGTTTTCTTGCAGCTTCCCGCTGCTTTGGTGGCCACGGCGAGCAGACGTCGCAACGGATCCACCAGCTGATTGTAGCCGGGGATGCTCGCACGCATCCAGTTGGTGGCGCACACAAACTCCTGGAGGTCGTCCGCGGTCGTCGGCGGCGACAAATCCACGAGTCCTTGGATTCGGCTTGGGGAGTGGGTGATTCCATCCGCCGAAATCACCTCACCACACCACTCTGCCTCGCGCAGAAAAAAATGACACTTCTTCGAGCTCAACTTGAGTCCGAACTGGGCACAGATGGACAGGACTTGGTCCAACAAGTCGAGCAACTCGTCCGTCGTCTTGGCGGACCCCAGAAAGTCATCGAGCCAGGCTGGTAGGCCTCAAAACAGCAGCTGGCAAAGCATGGTGGACAACCGACTGGCAGTACGCGACCGCGTCCGTCTGTCCCATGAGCACGCGGGTAGCGCCGCACAAACGCCGAATTGCGTCATGAACGAGAAGTACATCTGGCTGTCCGCATGTAGCGGCAACTGCCAGTACCCCTTGGTCCAGTCCAACGTGAAGTACACGTTCGATCCGACCAGACAGACCATCGGGTGTCCAGGTTTGGCATCGGCCAAGGCATCGGCTCCGTGCAGGCGTTGATCGGCCTGCTGGCGATCGCCATGCGCAAGTCGCCGACTTCCTTCTTCGGCACGATCCTTGGGGCTATGGCCCACGTAACCCTGTTGTTTTGGTATACCATACCATTCGCTTCCAGGGCAGACACAGGGCTGCGCATATATTCCACATGCAGCGGCGGGTACCGCCGCATCCCACACTTCACCGGCGTCGAGCCGGGTTTGATCCGAACCTTTAATGGCTCGGCCTTGACAGGCGGATCATCGCCCAAACCTTCACGGAATACATCAATGTGTTTGGCTAGTAGGTCGTGCAGCCGCATCGCTTCAGCGGGCGCCAGCCCGCGAGACTCCTCCTCGGCTGCCTTGGCCGTCAGAATAACTTCGAGCGGCCGCGCTCCGCTTTGTCCTCGCCGGAGGTTTTAGGATAAACCTTCGGAGTCGCACACTCCATCCTGTCGTCGGGGTCAAGCTCCGGTGGATTCAACTTATCCGTCATCAGGCGCATGACATTTTACATGCCGGGCAATTCATTCGTCGGCACGGACGAAACGTCCCATACTTCCTTCTTCTTCCTTGCTCCGAGAAGGAGGCCTTCCACGCTGAAGTCCAGTTACTCCATGATTGGGCGACTCACGATGCGTTCGGTTGCAGTCGACGCGTCGTCGACCCAGGCCTTCAGACCGCGCAACACAAGCGGTCCACATGTCGTGTCCAGCGTCACACAGTTGAACTTACGCTGTGCGTCATCACAACTGGCTTTGTGTCACTGCCATACGAGTACGCCAAATATGGCACGCTATGGAAACGGTCCCAACTTTGACACCGGCTGCGTCTAACGCATCCATGACGCCGCGCGTGACAACGGTCACGTCCGAACCAGAGTCCAAGAGCATCGTCCACACGGACGACATTCTCCAACAGCACGCCGCGTTCTGACTTCTGGCGCTGCGGCTGCTTGACCAGCACCTTGATGCCGTCCTTCCAGCGCTTGACTTGCGCTACCAACAACGTTTCTGCTTCGCCAGGCGCGGGTCTCCGGGCACCGCACCACACGGTGACTCATGTCACCGCACTTCAAGCAGCCCTTCTTGGCAGATGGCTCGGCGGTCTTGGGCACGATCATTTCGGCCTTTCCGCCGACTCTGCTATTCTTCTTCGCGGCGTCTTCCCGGCCGCCTTCACGTATTGAAACTTGAGGCTTGCCGCCTCGTGGAGCTTCTACGGCTTAGCTGCCGGGAAAGGTTTAGGATCGTCGTCGAGCCCGACGTACAGTTTGTGGCCAGCTGCAAAAGTCCGCAGCCAGTTTACGTAACGGAAGAAGTCGCTCTTCAACGCCTTGTTCCGCTGCAACTGCAGCTGCTTTTGAACAGCCGTCTTCAGCGATTCCGGCTTGATTGACTTCGTCATGACTTCGACGACCATCTTGCCTTCTTGATGGAGTACCCACTCCTCCTGATGTTGTTCCAACGAGCGCATCAGCTTGTCCATCATACGACCGACGCGTCCAAGATCTTCGTATCGAAACGAATCGCTCGCTGTAGACGTTGCTTCAAAACGTCCAGGGCTTGAGGGTCTTCCTGAAACGCTGACTTGAACCACGCGACCCACTCATCGTTCTTGATGGAATTGTCGTTGCGGTTGAAGTCAAACAGCTCGATCTTGTGCTTTGAAAACGGGTCCATGCAGGCATTCATGGACATCACGACGGACGCGATCCATTGCACTGCAGAGCGTTGATCTGTACCAGATACTTCTGATACCCGCGCATAAAAGGACGTCTTTCATCCTTGGCCGAGCCTGAAAATGTCGGCGTCTGCGAGAGTGCCGGCGCGTTCCAAACTTGCGGCGCCATACGACCGTAACTGCCATCGCTGCCATGTCCGTTTCGTCACGGACTTCCGGTTGCCGACTGGCAACGGTACTGAAGCGCCATCTGCTTCCGTCGTTGGTGGAGCAGCAGCTGAGACAAACGCTGCGACATCTGGTGTTCCTCGGGTTGTTTAGGGGTGTAAAACCCACCACGTGGCGGTTGCGACTCGTCGACTCGGCTGTCGTCGTCGGGGAGATCTGAACGGGTTCTCAACGGTGCGACGAGCGGCGCATCCTCGCTGGTTCTAGATCCGGTCCCGCGATCGTTCTTCGGGTTTCATTGGCGTTTCCTCGTCGGAGGAATGTTCGCGTACCATCTCCACTGAATAGCTCAACAATGAACTAAAAAAAATATTTTTGTTTTGTCTCCCGCTTCATCTTGGCTTTCGGTCACGGGACCTTCGTTAAGGTAGCAAATATAACACTGACATTAGTAAGGTTAAACACGCCATGAGGCGCCTACTGACTACCATTCACTAAAGTACTCAGTACATCCACTAAGGTATCGGAACCTTTGACACAGCATACATAGAGTGTGAGTGCTTGCAATGGTTCAAACTAACGCGCGACCCAATTGCTCTGCACGCTGCAGAACACCAGTCCCACATACACATCAACAGACCTACCTACTTGTCTACGTTCGTGTCAAACACCTCGCGCCACCGACCATGGCGCACGAGAAGACACATAAACTACTTCTATCTCGGTCATTCCTAGGCCAAAACCAGTTCCATGTACGTAGTGACAGCCATTCGTGACGACGTATGTGCCAACCGAGCCGTAGTATGTTAAATCATGTATACATAATGTACGCTGTACATTTTGTAATCACTGTGTGACAGCCAAAACTCACGTGGCGGGCGTGGTGGACATCATGCACAGCATCAACCAAAAGCCACGTACGACCAAGTGTACAATGTAAAGTACAAGAATTATATTACCACGGTTTAGGTGCCGAGTAGCACTTGTCGTTCAAGTCAATGAACATTGCCATGTTGAACGCCGCCAGTTTATCCACGACCTCGCGTGTGGCAACCGGAACATACACCGACGCTCTGATCCACAGTGACACGACGTGCTTGGGGTCTGCACCAAGCTTGAACGCCGCCACCAACGGGTTGTAATCGAAGTGACGCGGTTGCCAGGCGCGACTGACCCTGTCAGAAGAGCTACGGGGCCATTGGTGCTTCCATATGAGAGAATCCCTCAGCGGAGACACCAGTCCAAGAATGAGTTGTTTTGGCCAAGGAATCGCCGAGATATAGTAGTTTGTGTGTCGTCGTGCCGCCATGGTCAGTGGCGCGATATATTCGGCACGGACGTAGGCAAGAAGGTCTGTGGCTGTGTAGACTGGTGCCACCTCTGAGGACATCCCTCAGTCAGCGGTGACACTACCAAGGATAAGTCGAGGTAGAGTAATCCAAGATGCATGAGTGATCGCATGTCAAAATTATGTGGGCTTCACGTTTACTACTACTGTAGTACTACGTATCAGTAGTTACTTACCAATGCAAGCTGTTCAATTACTTGCGCAGTCTATATGCAACTATTTTTGACTGGAAATTATACCACGTGCAAACCGTCCAAATTGGCGCACTCAGATTGAGACACGTGCAAATACACCACTTAAATATAACCACGTGCATGAACGCCAAAAACAACGTGTAAAAATTATACAGTACACCCCGTTGGCACATGGGGTGATTTCTGTAGTGCGATGACAGCTAAATTTGTGCAACAGCAAATGTGCACAAAGTTTCAACCGAATTGCAACTAACAGTAAAATATGTGAATCGAGCTTATGCTTGTACGTGTTTATTGGGGGAACCATTGACGATGCTGTTCACAACAATGTACACTGTTGCTGACGATAAATATACTGGTTTTAGAGGTGTAACGAAGCGATTAAGGGGTACGAAGGGAAGTGGTTACAGTCGCGGTTCATATCATAGCTGTACTATTAATAGTACAGTATGCAGCACTATATAATTTAGTACTACGTAGTACGCAATAGTAGCCAAAAAAACCTGGTAACCCACACGTGGGTCGCGGCGCCCCGACCACGTCAACAACCTCCAAGCAAGCCAGTCCTCCCACAGACTACGCAACGCCACATAGTACACTACCTGCTGTACTCCCACACGCGGCCCTCAGCCACACGTCCTGCTCCGTCTACCGTGCAGCCCACGCCCGCTTCTGCATCAGCACCTGACCCATGTTCCACACCAGCTACACCACTACCAACCCTGGCACCCCCCCACGTCACGCTCTGGACCAGTACATACCTTCCCCAAACCAACTGCCTCAGCCCCAGTCATGACACACCACTCGACTCCCTACTCCCCACCCATCCATCGATCACCGACACCTCATCC